CTGGCTGGCTTCGGCGGGGAGGAGGGGGGAAGGAGGGGGACGGGGAGGAGGAAGGAGGAGGAGGAAGGAGGGAGGGGGAACTCCAGGATTCTAATGAGGAGGAGGGGGAGGAGGAGGAGGGCCAGGAGGAAGGCCCTCCAGGATTCTGGACGGACGGGAAGGAGGAGGACTCCAGGATTCCAGGAATTTAGGATAGTGGAAAGAGGAAGACGAGGACGAGGAGGAGGAGGAGGAGGAGGAGGAGGAGGAGGAGGAGGAGGAGAAGGGGGAGGAGAGGAGGAGAGTAAGGAGGACTCCAGGATTCTAGGCTGGCCCCGCGCGCGCCCGAGTAGGGGCACGAGGTCCAGGAAAGGGCGACACAGAGGCAGCCACCGACGACGGCGGCGGCGGCGGCGGGCGGGCAAGACGGTGACTGCGGCGACGACAAGACGGACGACCGACGGGACCCAAGGATGACGGAAAGCGCGCGTTAGCGTGCGGTCCGTTAGTCGGAAGAAATTGGACTTGGGGGAGTTCGAGGGGGGTGGCATCGCCAGGCCCGGATCTAATTGCCCTCCCGCCTCGTTTTTTATCGAGTAGGGCGGCCTTCGGGGCTTAAAAAAAGCGTTTCGCTCGAGACATCATCGGACAACGCTTCTTAGGCGTTCTTGGGCCGTCTTAGGCGCCTAAGACAGCCCAAGAAGCGGCCACGACGGCACCCAAGACGGCCCAAGAAGCGCCCAAGAAGCGCCCAAGACAGCCCAAGAGCGCTCCAAGAGAGCCCAAGACCGCCCAAGGAGGCCCCAAGACGTCCCAAGAGGCCTCCACGACGCCCCAGGAGGCGCCCACGAGGCGTCCCAAGAGGGCCCAAGAGGCCAAAATCAATGATTTTCTTAAGGAAAACGTGCATTTGTAACATATACGGCGTTTCGCTTTTCATGGCGTTGAAGATGGTCCAAGAGGCCCCCAAGACCGCCCCAAGACGTTCCCAAGAGGCCCCCAAAATAGCCCAAGAGGCCCCCAAAATAGCCCAAGAGGGCGCCAAGACGGGCCAAGAGGCCCCCAAGAGCGCCCCAAGAAGGCCCAAGAGGCCCCAAGAAGGCCCCAAAACGGCCCAAGAGGGCGCCGAGACGGCCCAAGAGGCGCCAAGACGGCCCAAGACGGCCCCAGGACGGCCCCAAGAAGGCCCCAAGAGGCCACCAAGAGAGCCCGAAGACGGCCAAAGGCAGCCTAGTCCCTTCACCCCCGCAGCCCAGAAGCTCCCAGGAGGCCCCAGGAGGCCCCCGAAAAGCACCAAAAGGTCCCCAAGAGGCACCCAAGAGGCTCCCCAAGAGCCCTCCAAGAGGCCTAACATACTCCCAAAGGCTCTTAGCACCGCGGCTCCCACGAGCGAGCGGTGACGTAATCGAGCTGATAAGACCAAAGCTCCCAACCGAGAGCTGCGACGTAATAAGTTCTTGACGCCAGGGCACAGGGACGGGCGGCAACGCGTGGACAACGAGCGGTCCATTCAAGGAAAACGCGGGGTTCTGGAATGCTGGCAGCCCAAACGCGGCAAACGCAACGCGACCCGACCGCCCCCTCCAAAACAAGAAACGCGCTCAAAGAAAGCTCCGCGACTCTCCGAGGCTGAGATAGGACAAGAGCGAGGGGAAGGGAGTCAATAAGGTGTAAGAGCGGACGAGCCAGCGATCTCGTGCGCTCTGAAAGTAAGTGCGCTTTCCGTCCCCGTGCCAAGCAGGTCTACTGGCCCGAGTCAATGCAAACCTGGGTCAGCCGGGCCTTGCAGGATCCTGCAGGATCCTGCAAGATCCTGGCGCGCAAGCCCTGGTCCGGGCACCCATGATGGCTCTGCAGGATCCCGCAAGATCTGGCGCTCTGACTACCGACCCCCGTTTGCATCGACCCCCGCCTGAAAACCCCCCAAAAGGTACCGAGTCCGCTACTCCCCCGACCCCTCCCGGGGCGCGTTCCGACCGGGATTTCGGGGCGAATCCAGGGGTGGCGACCAGGGCCTCCCGGGAGGGCCAAGGGAGGAAACACGAGGCAGAGGTCGCTTTCCTCCTCCGACCGGGGGACGCCAGCAGCGGCGCGACCGGCGAAGGCGACGACGGCGACAAGGCAGCTGCCGCTCGCGCGGGGCGGCGCCCGGGGCGCGCCGCGCACACTCCCGCGCGGAGCCTGGGGCAGAGAGGCGCGGCCCGTCAGGCGGCACCTGGGGCCCAAGAGGACCAGAGCAGCAATAGAAAGCAGGTACCAGCAGAAGGAGCGTTAACGAGGGAACGAAGCCCAATTGGGCGCCAGCAACCTCTGGAGGAGGGCAAGAGGACCAACCACGGAATGACCTGAGGAACGGCGCGCCCCTTCGGAGCCCAGAGCGGTCCTTGCTTCAGCGTCTTGCCTATACAGCATGTGACATGTCAAGCCTTTCCTCCCAAGATGGCCCCAAATCGGCCCCCAGGGGCCTCCGAGCCGCCCGCTCCAAGGAGCCCAAGGACACACAAATAAATACACACAAATAAAAGGATTACCCATATTTTCGTATATTTTCTGGGTTTCTGTCTTCCCGCTCAACTCCCATATTTTCCTATATTTTCTGGGGAATCGAGGATTAATTGTGTCTGTGTGTTTTTTTCCCTCCTGGTCAAAGGAGCCCCGAGAAGCCTCCCAGATGCCCCCCAACAAAGCACGCCAGGGGGCCCCATCTGGAGGGTCGGCGGATCGGCGCACAACATAAAGCTACATCCAAGCGAGTCCTGATCAGGGGGATAGTATGGGCATGTGGAGCCTAAGGGGTATTTGGACGCCCGAGTTATCCGGGGTAACTCGGGTCCGGGGTAACTCGGGTTTGGGTTCCCGAAAAACGAACCCGAGATAGCCCTGACCCGAATTACCCCTGATGATTCGGGGCTCTGGACGCCCGAAATATCCGGGGTAACTCGGGTCCGGGATAACTCGGGTTCGGATTCCCGAAAAACGAACCCGAGTTAGCCCTGACCCGAGTTACCCCGGATGATTCGGGGCTCTGAGGTATGCCCTCAAAGAACTCCCCAAAACTCCTCAAACCCAGCCCTCAGACCCTGCCGTGAGGGGCATATATCCGTTCGAGTCGTCTCCTCGACGCGAGGCAGTCCTAGGATTTGGTCCATCTTCCTGACCTCGCCCACGCCTCGGTGGGCCTCCGGTGCCCCCTCCGGCTCCATGTCCTGGCCCTGGAGGTGCACCGGGGATGGACAGACCCCCCTTTAGTAAAACGTGGTTTAGTGAAAACGACCTGAGGCCTAAACCTGGAGGGCGCAAACCTGGAAAATAACGGCCACGGCGCCCTCTCGAGAACCGAAAACGGACAATTCACTAATCGACGTGTCACTGTTGGGGGTTCTGTCCAGCCCCGAAGCAGGAGGTCCGCCTCGGCAGTTTGGCGGGGCGTGGCCAGGCGGCCTTCCAGGCCCAGGGCTGACGCTCCACGAACGGGCAGATGATGCTCTTCCTCTTTTGCCAGGGCCTGGGCGCGCCCTCGACGTCGCCTTCCCCCTCGTCCTCCCGACCCTGCGCCACGGCTTGAGAAGGAAGTGTGTGTGTGTGTGTGTGTTTGGCGCTGCCCGAATGTTGTTCGATGCCCTCCTCGAAAAGAGGGCATAACTGCATAAATATCAACATTCGGCGCTCCGCGCGGATCTCTTGGATCTGCGCTGAACCCCCCTCCCTGGCGCGCTCCGCGCGCCAGGGGCGGCGCCGGAGGCGCCGCCAAGGAAGGGGGCCAGGCGCAGATCCAAGAAATTTGCGCGGAGCGCCGAGAGTTAATGTTCATGCAGTTTCTGTTTCTTCGACCCTCAGCGAAGACAAGGGCCCAAAATCCCTAGATGGTCCAGGAAGGACGGAGAAGAAGCGGACGACTTGAAGACCCCCCGGGGGGCCACCCGCTCTGTCAGAGTGAAACGCCCCAGCAAGCCTCAGGGACGCGAGGCGACTGCGTGCACCTCGGGCGTGTGTTCGACCTCCCACCAGGCGCCGAAGTTTCTCGTCACGAACTGTTTCCCGAAGGCTGGACTAGGAGCTCGCTCGACCACAGACAATTTCCACACAAAAAAACAGCGACCCTGAGACCCCAGGACGTCTATTGATTCTTGGTGTGGGAACGCCACGCTTTCCATCGCAAACCCGTGGAAGTCCGAAGAAGCCAGGGCACCCTAGAGGCAAGCAAAGTGTTCCTTGGCATGGGTCTCCATCTCGAGGCGCGCGGAATCTTCGACAACGAAGCACATCAGAGGCCGGACCAGGCCTGTCAGCACCTGCCCGCCGCGGGGCACTTGTGCGACCACTGCTGTCGGGATCAGTTTCGGCGCTGGCAGGGATCGCGCGATCATCTGCGTTCGAGGGCAGGTCGGAGCCTGGTTCAGCTGTGCTTGTCGTTGCCCCACTCTGGCCGATCGCCTCGGGGAGAAACGGAGCGACTCGCCTTGCTGGGTCGGAGAGAAGGGCTGGCGCTTTGTCGGGGGTCCTCGCGGAGCTCTCCAGGCGGCTTTGATTTCCTTGGGGTGGCGCTGCCAGTCTTTGGATTTGCGAGTGGAGCCTGAGGGCCAGGAGTGAATTGTCTTGAGTGCTGGCAAGGCCCCTCCCTCCTGCCTCCTGGACGCCTTGGAATTGTCGATCGAATCCTAAGTCTGGCGGAAAACTGCCCTGCATGAGGATGACCCACGGGTTGGCTCGGTGGCAGCATGTTCCCCAACTTGCGGCGAGACTCGAGGAGGATCCCCACTCGACAGCAGGCATGGTGCGCCTGATAGCGCGCGGTGGCCCCCAGCTGTGCCCCTGGAAATCCTGGCCACCGACCATTTTATCACTGAGGCCACCCACGAGCTCGACCTGAGGCCCGCTTTCTGGCGCCGAGGGCTGCTGCCCCTCCCCTGCCTTGCTCTTCCCCCGCCCTCCCAAGGACCGCGGCCCGTTCTGGGTCAGGCGGCAACTTGGCTGGGGTGTATGGGGTGGATGGCTCGGGGGGGCGTCGGGGTAAAGAACCC